AGACTCATATATCTCAATAAGCTACACTGGCTAGACTGTTTGTTCTCTGACGTTCTATCACACCAGAAAGGTCTGCTGGATGATGGTAAGAAAAAAATTAGTCACCGTTATTATTTAAAAAGCTACATTATGATGGAGGTCTGAGGGCCAAGTGGTAATGCTGATTGGATTCTTTGTGCCAGCAGTAGGGTGTTTCCTGCGGAAGACAGGCAGTACAATCCTAATGCTGTCTTCCCAGTTAGAAGACGGGGATTGGAATAGGTTGACCCTAAAAATAATTCACTCGCTCTCGCCTTATGGTTTTCCCGTGCCGACAATGAAGGTTTTCCTTGTCCTTCATTAACATAATAAATTCTCAGCCTAAAAATGTCGTGTTTGACAGGCCTCCAGCAGATATCCCGTGGGCTCTGCCTTCAGACAAAATTAGTGCTTGTGCTCATTCAAATACCTTATGCAAACAACTTCTGCTGCGTGGGCAGTCAGGAATCATCAGGCCACGCACATGTCTAGCTGTATACAAACTCCACTTATCTTACCCAACCTACCTTCCTTGCCTTCGCCTTCTCATACCAGCATTAGGCCTCTCCCAACTTGGCCAACCTCTCTTCCTGCTATGCAAGCCAGTTGAACACCATTTCTACTCTCCTAAAACCCCGCTGTCGACTCCACATTGTGGTTTTCATGGTCAGAACCCTATATCCCATCGGAAAACAGGCGTCTTGCCAAAACTCTGGAATCTAGAGCCATTGGTACATTTTATGTATCTAAGACGCACAGAATCTAATTGTGATTATCCACTTGACTTCCCCCGGTCACTACGATGGATCTGTAAAGTTCACCTTACCAGTGTCCTGAGATTAAATGAGAACCTCTTGTGAACTTTGTGATATAGAAATAGCGGAACGTTCTCGAGTAGAATGCGCACTTCTTGAGTGGGTACCAGTAAGGAAACACTTACGTGTTGTTCGACCAAATGAAACTGTAAGAAGTGGAAAGAGTCATGACATATCGATGTCTATTTTTAATCTCTGCCTGACCGTATTCACTTACTTTAATTGAGAAGGCATCAAGGATGAATTCTACCGAGAACTGTCAATTTTGCCGCATAAAATAAAACGTTTCGATATAGTCTTATTAGCAGGTTGAGTCAATCGAAATAGTGTCTTGGAGTGGCATACAGAATCACAAGCCACAGAAAGAAAATGGTAGTTGTCTGTTTCAATGTTATCCTAATAACCACTTCTTTCTGGTCAGTATTAACTCCAAGCACAAGGAGTGACACTATCTCAACTGGTGTCTACTAACATGAAACCAACGATGGACACATAAAGGTTATATTACTGTAAGTCAAAGGTGGAGAATTGCCTTTCTTTCCGGAGCGTATATCTAAACTCCAAATACGTGTTACTACGGCCGCGTGCATATGTGCACCTTACTGGTCGCAGAAAACAGAGGGTGGCAAGGCCTGTGTATGCCCAACAAGAGGATGCGAAAGTCAAGGATGTATTTATAGGGAAGATGTCTAAGCGTTTATCCGCACATTGTAACATTTTCTTCTCAACGAGATGTTCATTTTACTGCAAAAACGGAAGTTAAAGCGATTTGCGACCTACATCCAAAAAGCCAGTGGATTTCGTTAACGTCATTCCAACTAAGTGATGCTGGAGGACTCATTCCAGATGCCTCTGACCGCAACGAATAGTAATCTCAGCTGGAATGAGAATTGACTAGGAATCTTTACAGTAACCACAAGCATAAGGTGAGTGGTGAAAGAGAGGTGAAGGCATTAACATTAAGTAGTACTCCGTAGATATCTAGGCTTATCGTGATATTGGTGAAAAGAAAACGATGGTTTATGTTATCATAACCGAACAGTATCGGATCCTTGTAACCTCTCGATATGGTTTTCTAGAACGTCGGGCAAAACACTTTAAAGCACTGTTCAACTGGTCTAAAGTAACGCTCAAATTTCTCACCACCGATCCCGATGAATGTGCCGGTCCTCCAATTATCCGCAAAAATAAGAATACTGTTTCAGACTTGGAACTATATAAAGCAATAGGACTTGACTGTTTGACGTCAAAAAATTTTAAGGAAGGAAATAAAGAATTACTGAGTAGAGTAACGGAGGTGATGGATGGCGAATGGGAATCAGAGTTATTCCCATCAAACTGGCTTACCCCACCGATCATTCTAGTTTATAAGAGTGAGATCTTCATGCATCAATCAAAGAGGGGTTAGTTTGGCTAACATTGTATCTGAGACCTCACAGTTCATATCGATATGACACATTACGGATCATGAGGACAGTGATTTTAAGAAAATCAGTCTTTACAGACGTGGATTGGTGTGAATCGGTCAGATCTTCACCCTCTCGACAGCTTTGGAAACATGATCATACATACCAATGGTAGACATTTATGGCATTCGATTTCGTCTATCGAGGTGTTGTGGCAGTGTTTGACTGTGATGGGAGTACCTAGTAACTATGTAATGTTAGTAAAACCTGTCTATCCTAACAAAAACAGTCATGTAAGAACTTATGGATAGATATCTTCTGAAGTGGAAATAATCAGTTGTGTCTATCAAGAACATTTACTGTCGACATTCCTGTTTGACTTTTTTAAATTTGCATTAAGTAGTATGACACTGGGTACCGTTGGCTTATTCGGGATCAACTTAGTCCACTTAAGACACCTGGTTGACTTGGGTTACACAGACGATTTAGCCCCGCTGGATGCTGAAACTGACAAAATGCAGTCATTTTAATGCCTTGAGCTTAAGTGTGATTATGTTTAGCAGGCATTTCGCATCAGTCAAATGTATGATAGGGGATTAGGACTGGTCTGCACCAACCTTCAATCTGCGGATAGAGTGTAAAGTGGTGGGACAGATATACCACTTCACTTTGGAATATACAGCAGCCTAAACAAGTCGTTTACTGAAGTATTCCCAGCTAAGCCACAAAAGGTCTTGTTCAGCATTCGCCTATGTATGCTCTCTGTGTTGTCGGCTAAGTATCTGACTAGTCAAAATACGAGTATACTTCACTATAGACAATACTCGGTCCTTAAAAATGATAAAAATATATGAGATTACACGTTTTTGACTACAGGTAGGTTCATAGCCTTGCTCACGTATGGTGGGATTACCATGTGAGAAATTTCAAAATTAACTGGAGGGTACTGGACAAGGCAGACAATTCAGTCAATGAGGCTGTGAACCTGCAACGAGTGAGTTG